TATTTGCTTGCGTGTGTGTGTGTGTGTGTGTATGTCATGTGCATATGTAAGTACCTTATAATTAAATTAACTTATCATTCGCAATTGGTTTGGCTTAGTCGCATCTGAGCAGCAAAGCTTTCGCTGAGGCTACAAAACAAATACCATTATTTAACACAAATTACCCGATAATACATATATGTATATGTTGCACGTGCATATGTAAGTCAGCGACTAACATTTAACTATAGTTTCAGTTTTTTATATAGATATCTTCTGTTATCAGCGTACGCATGCACTTGAATTAAACTGACTACGGCTAAATTGTTACTGTCTGTATGTATTGGAAAAATTAAAGGGACAAATTTGTTGAATTAGATTCATTTGATTTCTTAATAAACGCTAAGCCCTGCCTCGAGAAAGTAGCAATGACAATGAAGTTAAAATATTCGAGTAAATTCATTGCTAACAACTATTGTTTGTCGATAACAACAGTACCGTTGGCGAGCGTCGAACAATAACAGCAACAGCGACAGCGACAGCGACAACGACAACGGCGAACGCGACACAGTGACCACACGAATGAAGTGGAACTTAATACTAAAACAAGCTTTCGACCATTGGCTGTGCGGTGCCGAGCGGCATATTGGATAAGTTCTAGCGCGCTTCGCTCAGAAATTGTATTTTGCAGCTTGTGCCGGACGGCCATAGTTTAATCTTAAAGCAAAAAGCAACAGCGCTAAGAACGACACACCCTATAAAATTGTTGTGTCTCGTTTTGTACATACTATGTATGAATTTAACTAAATATATGTATGTACTGGATGTATGTACATGCATACATATGTATATATGTATTTACATGATCTTCAGAGTCATTCAGAATGGGAATGATTCAAAACAAAAAAATGTATATACGCACACATTTGAATGTATTGCCATGCAGACACTCAAATGTATGTGTGTGTGCGTGTTCATGTGACATATGTCTCACGCACACACACACCGACCAGAACAGAAACACTCAAAAAAGTTTAAGCTTTCCGTTGAGAGAGAGAGAGAGAGAGAGAGTGAGAGAGAGAGCGAGAGCAAGCGAGCTTTGGCAATCAAACAAAAATAACTGATGTGCAGAGCGAAGCAGTTTTCAACTAAGTAGCAAAAGATCCGATCCGAAGGCTTTTGACTTTTATGATCCATCAATCGACAAGAAACGAGTGAGAATGGGAGAAAAGTAACGATAATTTTAAATTGCTATACTTTTTGCTTCTTCTATTTAGTCATTTTCTGTCGATTACACTTGCACTTGTATTTGATATGATAGTTACTCACGCCCACATCCAGTAATATTCCAATTTACAAGTATATAACATGATATCGTAAACAGTATTCGACTAGTCGATACGCTTTAAAAAATATAAAACCACTTTTTACATAAGATAATACTTAGAATAATATTCTAGCATTTCTCGAAGATATTTTGAAGAAACTCGGCAGTTACTATTTTAAATATGAGCCGAATCTTATCAAGATCGAAGAATCAGTCGAACATTTAGCTTTTTTATTGAAATATATTTTGTTTATTGAAAAATATTCTGATTTTAAAGATATTTTCGCCAAATTCAGCATTCGCTTCACTTATTCACATATCTTTAAAGCAGTAAATCAAAAACGTTATAGTGTATTTAATCTTCGACGTGCGGAGATATCCGTACTTTCTCTTTGGTATTTATAGATAAGACTAGCGGGTGGACCGATATGGCCCGTTGTAAGTTTGTCGCTTCGAATTTTAAGGTAATACTTTTTCACCCATTTCCCGCCCGTGGAAATTTCCACTGAGGTGGATTGGTATAAAGTAGGTTCGCAAATTGTAGGCACGGATCAAACAACAGGATTTCCTTATCGATCCAGTAAGTATATCTCCCATTACAGAGTATCCCTAGGACCTCTGCGCCCATCGCTGAGTATCCGGCACAAATACTAAGTAATACTTGTAAATGCATATCTGTCGTTTAGGTATAGCTCGTCAGAATGTAGATCAAGGCTTTATTAATCAAAGTTTGACTTTACAAATTGATAAGGATCAGGGGAGGCACCGAGAAAGAGAAATATTCCAGATCTGTGTGTTTCTAGCTCTAATTAGATGATTGGAAATAAACTTGATCCAAATTTGAAATGAAACTAGAAATGAGGCCAAGTATTGGCCAATCTCTGAATATAGAATCTAGGCTAGACACCCATTTTCCATGGTACCCTTTATCCATTATCCATCTAAATAAACGCGTCGATCCGGGCAACTACAAAAGCTGGAGTCTTTAAATTTGAAATCATTTTTGTCGATATCACGTAACATCTGCAAAATATCGATAATAATCGATTTTGAGGCATGGAAACACATATTGGGAATACTTCACTGGGAATACTTCTTTCGATACCTTCCCTCTATCCTTGTAAAATTAAATAAAAACAGATTTGTAAAGCTAGAGCCCTCTGATTTGGTATATATACATCCTTATACCCTTAATTGAACTATTTATAGAACTTATTTCTAGAATTCATATGATATTAGAACGCAAATCGTGGTGCTATAAGACATAGTATTATATTTACTGGGGAACACTGGAGATTTTTTGCTCGAGTCCTTGTTAATCTGGCCCGCGTCAATCTCTAAAAGAGGGACATGGACATATATCAATATATGTGCTCTAAGTAGATTCCTCTAGTCGCATCGGGTTTAGGCAATCCGGAGCTATTTACAGGGTATCTCTTAGTCATGACGATGCACACGCGAGGCCACAATTTCAAGCAAATATATGCATATGACCTAGGTCAACATTACACTTAATTCATCCCCTTCGCCCGATTCCTTTCGAGTAGAGCAACGTTTTTTTTTACGAATATTACACAATCAGAGCAAAAAGTATCCGTAATGCACGATGGAGATGAATTCACATTAACAAGAAGTAAGAGAAGTAAGACGGATGTAAAAATTGGACAAGAATATTGGACGTGGACATGAACCGATACCGATACCGAACCGAGCCTAGGCACAGATATACATATGTTGGCGTGATCTTAAAACTGGACGGACAACAGTTCCATGAATGCACATCGATTAAATACAATTAGGATTAGCTTACCTTGGCGGATGCTGTTCGCTGTTTGATGGCAGATGCATGGGCCGAGTGTGTGCTGAGCACGTTCTTGTTAACCGCGCTGGCTCCGACAGCTCCCACACCGCCGCCGCCGCCACCTCCGCCGGGCGGATGGTGATGATGGTGATTGATCGCATTGGCTGCTCCAGATGCGCTGCTATTGCTTGAGAGGCGGGCACCATCCGTGGCCATGTTGTTGGCCACGTGCTGATGGTGCTGATGCTGATGGCTGTGCTGGTGCGCGTGGTTCGTGTTCGTCGTGGGAGCTGCTGTCACGGCTGTCACGGGTGTGCTGCTTGTCGTGGAAATCGAGGACGATGTTGGCAACATTGTCGTTGTTGTTGTCGTATTTGTTGTTGTTGTTGTCTGTGGCAGTGAGACAATGTTGGCATTGGCTGAGTCATGCTGCTGCTGCTGCTGCTGCTGCTGCTGATCCTTCACGGAATGCGCAGACGTGCTGATTGTATTGGCCGTATACGTGGTTGTGCTGGCAGCGGCTGTGCTGGCGGCCGTTGACGTTGACGAGGGCGTGGCAGCCGGAGTCGCAGTGCCATTGGAGACATTTTCTGCGGGCAGGGCTTCAGGAACTGGTTGCAGTGTTGTTCGCATTGCTGTAGACATATTTTGGCCAAATCTCTAGAACGATGCAATATGGTCCAAACTGGTCCAAGTGCTGCTCCACCTTCTCCTTATATGCCTTCCTTTAAAAGTACTTGCCGTTTAATATAGCTTAAATTTATTTAATTTTCTAATGAGTTATCATCTGTCGGGAGCCACTTTTTACACCTAAAAAATAACATAGAAAAATCAAGATTTTCTTGTAAATACAAAGTTGTCGAATAAAAGCAAAGGGCAATATGAGGAAGCTTATTATTAAGAAGAGTTAGCAAACATTCTAGCTTTCTTCTAGATAAAGAATAAGTTTTCGATGGGCAAAGACATGCTATACCCAATTTCAAAGAATGTAGGGTATCTACAAATTAAAATAAAAGACCATCCGATCGGGCTCAAACTCTTTTAGCAAAGTCATTCGTGAGGTGTTTCAATATTTTCCGCAATTCCACACGTTCCTCTCAAGGATTTCATTGGCATCCTTTCAGGCTCAAATTCGGTTCTAAGGATCTTTCTGAAAATTCCTTGGAGACGTGTTTCAAACTTATCGCAATGTTAAAAAGTATCTATCTATATATCTATCTATTAAGTGCGAGACAAGTTTCCAGTTCCCTTCGATCAGGTCCAAAATCTTCTTTAAAGTCCTACATAAAAACTTAATCAATGTGTGAAAATATGTGATTGTGAAAATTCAAACCGCAACTGTGGAAAATTTACAGAAAACGTTTGAATACAAACTTGGTTTACCATTCAATAAGTTTATTAAAGAGACTAAAATGGAGGATAAAGTAGAGTCCAATGTTTGGCTCTCAATTTGATGGACTTTAAACCAACTTTTATTTACGTAAAAAATAGTTTCAGACGTGTAGTTCAAGGAAGTGCTGGAAAAACCAGCTAGTCTTCAATTTAAATTGAGACCTGAAGTGCGAAATTGAACGGGTAAATATGAAGATTCTTGAAGTCCAGCAACAGGCTCTTAATTACCACTCAGAAGTACTAATCGCTGGTTAAGTTTTGAAACAGAAGCAGTTGCAAGAATACAAACTAACTTAATCGCTTAAACAATCGATTAAGGACTTATTTAATAAAGACAAAACGCGTTCTGGTGGCAGCCAAAAGCGCCTCACATGAGGCATTCGCTGATGTATTCCGCCAGAACTTGCTGCTTCAATTAAGACTTTAAAGAATAACAACACAATACTAATGTGCTTTTAAATTGCATAACAAATATAGTTTATTAATATACTATTACAATTTTCTTAAGTGCTTTAATCAATATATTGTATTTAACTTTTGGCAATTCCTCAAGTCATTTGTCATCTTGTTAATCCTAAGGTCCTTTGGAATGTTGGTTCATGCTTCTGTGCATTATGAATTTGGTTTAAAAAAAATGGTCATAATCAAATATATGTTTGTCATTTGATGTCCAAATATTGTTTCTTAAAACATATCGAAAATAGTTGGCCATATTAATTAGAAAAATAAACAGTTTTGTGTACCCCTCAACATAAACGCATTTAAAGCATATTTTCTCTTTTCTATTCAAAACTATACAATTTGGGTTTTGCTTTATACACAAATACTTAAAGCAAATCCAGATTGTGATCGACGGAATTATAAATTGCCCAACCCACTTTGGCATTCCGGCTCGTCCAAAAAGTATAAGTTAAATCTTGGAAAAGTGGTGCGAATGGGGCTCTAGACACAATTTTAGCAAGACTTTTGCAATTTTTGTGCAAGAAGATTGTGTACATGAACTTATAAAGGGTTACAGCAAATAAGAAATGCAGTTTTCAAATATTAATACAAATAAATTTCTTTTAAAGAAATAAAGTAAAGTACATTAGCTTTGGGTGCGTGGAAATTTTCTATTCAACTTTTGCTAGCAATCTCTATAAACAGTTTTAGTTTAGTTTAATCAATTTGATGAGAAAACCATTTGAAAAAATTACAAGAACAAATTCCTATTAATTTTAGTGGGTATATAGTAAGGACTTAAAAAATCAATGACACTCTCGATTTCGGCTTTGAACTGAATTCTTTGCAGCGTCTGCAGCTCCTGCCTGACACCCAAGCTAATGTAACTGCGAGAAAGAATATCAATAATCTTTTTATTGTCGTATTTGGTAAGGGCAACAGCGCGTTTGGAAATACTGTCAATTTCGGACGGATGCAAGCCAATCCAGCGCAGCATTGGTGTGGCAAGACTCTTGGACGAGAAGCTCATGGCTTGCGAGCCGTGTCGGTAGGTAAGCATTATCTCAATGCCAAACGGATCGGCATCTACGAGTATATAGGCAGGCAAGTTGCACTCAACGGACAATCTGTGCACAATGCGTCGCGTTGTACAGTCCGGATATCCCTTGCCGGTCAACAAAATGAAACGCAAGCCAAATGTGCTAAACGCATTGCAGGCAAGCAAGCTCTCAAAGACAGACTCCTTTTCAACGATCAGCACCATTTCGGCATTTGTCACAATGCGTTCCACATTCTCAAAGTCCGTTGGCAATGTTATAGCCCCACAATAGACGTTGCAGTCCAATATATCGCCATTGCTCATAAGCAGCTTTATGTCGCCTAAAAATAGAGAAATAGTTAATTTTCTACAGCATATTGTTGTTTGACAAAACTTCACACCTGCAATGAGTCCTTTCGACGCCGATAATATGCCCAGATTGACGGGCGCCGTGTTCAGCATGCGGCAGACATCCAATTTGGCTGCCACAATGTAGCTCTGCGAACGAACCACATGAGTGTCCCGATAGTAGAGTCCACGGATTGTGCAACTACCGCCGGACAAGTGCAAGTTATGGATCTCGGCCAAAAGATACACAATCAGACAAAACCGATGACGACTACGTCGATTATTGTACATAATTTTGCGACAATTCAAAATTGCCTTCACGTTCTCAAATACTCCGATATTACCCTCAAAATTGATTGGGTCGTACCAATCTCGACATTTGCGTGGAACTTTTAAAGTAACATTCTCAAAAGACGTTATACTTGAGATCAGCTCGAGCACAATCTGCTCAATATGCACCAATAGTTTGTACATATTGGAAGACATCGCCGTTACGTCTGATACACAAGATATATATATATATATATATATATATATATATATGTATATATATGATAATAGACTGTCGGGCCGAGTTGTTTTCTTTTGATTCGCCACCTATTTTCCATTTGGGGAAAACTTTTGAAAATATGATGCCGAGCAATGAACATTTAAAGCCAATCGGACGAGATTCTGATTGGATTTTGCAAATGGTATTCAATGAACTTATAAAATCGAATTGGAAACTTATGTGTCTCAGAAGAGTCCAAGGAATTTTTAACTATTTTAAAAATGGTATGGTAAATTGATTTAAACAAATAGATAATTCAATATAATATATAGTATATAGAATGAGATGTTTATCTTGTAGAACACATTATAACTGTGATAACACATCTCCGATCCCATAAAGTATATATATATAATATAACATATAAAAATGTCACAAAACTTTGCATAGTCTGTATTTTGTTGTTGTGGGCATTACATATGTCGGAATCGGCCGGATCGGACCACAATATCTTTTAACAGGAATAATAAAATAAAAGTACTCAAACCAAAAGGGAAGAAATACATTGAATGCGATACAAGTAGGTAAATATACATACAAATGTTTGCGTCACACACCCTTTAATTATAATATATTAGTATATATATATATATGTTTATATATATACACAAATCTCGCGACCATCTTCATAATTGTACATATACATGTACACATATACATATGCATTAATTTGTATATAAGGCTTATGTATTAATCAACAAAGTATCGGTTGTCTGTTGCAAATGCAACTACAAATTTTTCGAATGTGATTAAACAAAATTATTGATAGAATACATGCACAACACAATTACACTTCGAAAAAGAACAACTTATGCACATTAACGATTAACATCACACACACACACACGCACACATTTTCATTTAAACCGATGTACATACATTACTTATGTCAATTTCTTTATTCAGGCTTTTTTTTTTTGGTTTTTTTTTTGCTTTATATGCCCAGAAAATGTACTCGTTATTACAAAGCACGCAGAGTTTATTTTCTTGTGCCACGGGGCTGACAGGGCGTTAGCGGGCGGTAGGGCAGGCGGGGGCAGACAGCGGCAGCGAATGAAAGAGAAAAACTAGCGAAACAGCGAACGAAATGGCAGCCCCCTAAAATATTGATTTGCTGGTTCGCCATAGCCATATGAAACCCCATGGTACTTACCAATAAAAATAATTCCTGAACAAACGATATTAGGTGAGAAAATGACGGTACATGGACATAAGCTTTTTGAAAGTCATACGCGATCCATTACCTTACGCCTTGTTTCATTCATATAACACATTATTACTTAATTTTTTTTTTTTCTTAATTTTCAAACGCCAAGTGTTAGTGGAAAAGAAAGACCGACTTTTACCGAGCAGTCGACGACACTACACAACGAAATGCAAATGCATACATACATACATATGTATGTATCTTTCTCACTCGCTCACTCACAGCAGCTATATTTCTCAATAGGATTTTTTTTTCTTTTTTTTTTATAAAAACCGTTTTCAAGTTATGGAACTAAATGATCGCGTTTTTACAAACTAATTTGGCTCACAGTGACTTTTTCGTCTAAATATTGTTTATGTATTTTAAAAAGCTACATTGCCATTAATTCAATTCAGCGAAAGAAGACATTCTAAGTAACTTGATATTGCGCTATATAAATTAAGTCAATTATGTTGGTTTTCGGACGCTGCAACAAATTTATAAATAATTCTTTGTTGCACTTCAAAGATTACTGTAATAATCTTTTTTAACCACATACACTAGGCAAAGCAGCAGCATACGTCGTCCAAAAAAATCACATTAAAATCAGGCAGCCATATTGTAGAGTTGCTAATAGTCAATCGATACATCGGTATTGTATGAAATGTATACGAAAGCGACGAACGCTTCACGCAATTTTCGTTTACATTAGTGAAATCTCTATAAAATATCCAAACCCATTAATCGATATTTATCAAATATCAGAAAACAGTGAAGTAATCATTCGTTTAAAATAATCTATTTTCTGCATCTGTTATACGAGAGTTTACATTTCAAATGCGTCTCCCTGTATTTAATGGGCTCCAAAATCCATGTGTTCATCCGAGCTAACAGACGGTCAAATGGTGATGGATCGATACAAACATTTTGTTATAAGTCTGTAGTCAAAATTGTATAGATTTTGATTATCATAAGTGATAAGCAATCGATCACGATTATTGTAATTTTCTAAAACAAACTTCATACTTTTTTTTTGTGGAATGTCTCTGTGTTTTTGTAGCCTATCGATTAAAATCGATAACCATTATCGATGGCAATAGCTGACACTGAACTGTAACACGCCTTTTTCCTTTCTTTCCTACATACCATAATGGCGGTAGGTTTTCTGAAATTCTTGTCAAGTGTAAATTATTTCACATCGGCTATAATCCTTACATATTATTCAAAACTATGAATGTAGAGTGCGAGAATTTCGGTCTTACTTGATAATTGCAATATTATTTTGGATTAAAATATCTAATTGGTTAACCAAAATATACATTTTTCAGGCCGTTGCTAAGAAGGAACCCAAAATCAAGCGCGATCCCGCGAAAAACCCTATGCGAGATTTGCACATAAGGAAACTGTGCCTCAACATCTGCGTAGGTGAATCTGGTGATAGGCTTACCCGTGCCGCCAAGGTTAGTTCTCTGATATGTAAATAATTATTGCGGAAATTGACCCAAAGCAACGTTCATTGTCAGGTTTTGGAGCAGCTGACTGGACAGCAGCCAGTGTTTTCTAAGGCCCGCTACACAGTGCGTTCCTTTGGAATTCGTCGTAATGAAAAGATCGCTGTGCATTGCACGGTGCGCGGCGCAAAGGCCGAAGAAATCCTGGAGCGTGGCCTGAAAGTTCGCGAGTACGAGCTTAGACGTGACAACTTCTCCGCCACTGGAAACTTTGGATTTGGTATTCAGGAACATATCGATTTGGGCATTAAGTATGATCCCTCAATCGGTATCTATGGTCTGGACTTCTACGTTGTCTTGGGACGTCCAGGTGAGACTTACTGATGCAACTATCAAAAAACCAATCCTGCACACAATTAGGTGTCTATTTTCAAATCGAAATGGACGCTCAGTAAATGTGCGCAAAACAATGAAGATGTGCTCAAATGTATTTGTTAACATGCAAACGCAGACGGTACAATTTCGACAAATTCGCCCAATACTGAAGAATCTTCCATTTATCTTGTTGTTAGCAGAGCTAGTAAACATGTGATTCGTTTTCTATGCTTCAGGTTACAACGTGGCTCACAGAAAACGTAAATCTGGCACCGTCGGCTTCCAGCACCGCCTGACGAAGGAGGACGCCATGAAGTGGTTCCAGCAGAAGTACGATGGAATCATCTTAAATAGCAAGAAATAAACGCGCCTCGCGTAGCTGTTTACAATCTAAAAAAAAAATTCTGTAATAAACCCGTCATCGGAGAAATTTTTAATTTTGCGTCTTTTAAGCTTGCAGACGTTTACCTACATTATTGCTTATATACTGAATTGGACGAAAATAGGAGCAAGTCATTAGGAAGCTCTTCTATGATTCCGTATGATTCAAATGCGAAAACATAATCTTTACCACGCGGTGCCATGTTTCCACGGAAGTGACATCCAGAGGTATTAGATGGATTGATATTCAAATAATATATATCTGGACCTGACTTATTTATTTACTTATTTGCAAGATCAGAGTATTCAAACTGTGCTATAAATTTGTCAAAATATGTTTGATGTAGAAGAGATCTCCGCGTCTATCAAGTAATGCATACAGACGACAATGAAGCTTTCTATGAACAAGTTTTCTAAAGCCCATAAAAAACATGTATTTATGCTTAGCTTTGAAGAATCAATTATTTTATGATCCCAATTATATGATAACAACTTCATTATATCGAGCCATATCCAAGATCCAGTTATCTTATGTCGTAGTGGCTATTATCTCTGCTTATGGATGGAAATCATGAATAGGTCTCGATAAGCAAATGCTAGAATGCTTGTCAGTACAGGGTATCTCTTAGGCGGCCAGTTCTCATAGCCTTTTGATAATGATACATGTTTTCAAATTTTAAACAACTGATGTTAAGTAAAACTAAAACTGAATCTGTAGGATTCCTACCTGGGAGTAAATTACCACCTCATTAGACTACACTTAAATGCAAATACGCCTTTGTTTGTATCTCGTTATGTCAATTATTTATTATCCTTAGATGTTAACTTCAATTTCTTGCCTTTCTTTTTGTTGCTCAGTATCGCGAAACGTATTTGCTGAACGAGCCACTGAACGCCCTCGTCCAAGCCTTCGCCGGAAACTGCGTTGCTGGAGCAAATGTGCCATGGTTTCTCTTTGATGTTCTCTAGACCCAATGCTAAAGAGAGAGAGTTTAGATTGGAAGAACAAAAATAAAACCAAATGAATTCGCATTTAAGCCGCTTAATTACCCGCCGCAATTTTCACATTGGAGAGCGAATCCTCGAGGTCGGATTTGTTGCCATAAAAGAGAATAGGTACGTTACGATTACAAAAGTCGGGATGTTGCAGCACAAGGTCCAACTCATCTTTGACAACAACTAAAACGATGAAAGTTTACAAAATATATTTCATATAGGTATTATATAATATACCGAATCTCATCCTGTCGCTTGCATCAATTACGTATATAATCCCCTGGCAATTTTTGAACTGATGTTCCCACAAATTTCTGTACCGCGTGGCACCTGACATATCTATTGCCTTGATGCTCACGCCCATGTCTGTCCGATAAAGAGATGCTTCATGATTTACAAATATTTCAACAAATAAAAAGAGACTTACTATAAAATTGCTCGATTTGAAATCCAACAGTGGGCACCATTATGGCCGACTGTTCACTTGATTTCTTGAAATGGTTGATTATGGTCGATTTGCCACTGTTATTTAAGCCCAAAACGAGCATGGTCATTTTATCCCTTTTCGCTTTGATCAAGTCCGACAAATTGTGCAGCATTCCCATATTACGACTATATTGTAAACTAGAATTAACAATATGCAAAACTTGTACAATGTTTTGCCGCACGAATCTCCGACTGATTACCATGGTTACGCCGTGGCACATCGATTTATTGAAGCACACACAGTTGTCCTTCAAAGCGCCGAAAGCGTCGGCAATCAAGGTCATTACCAGGTGGATTTATTTATAGTAAATATAGAAAAGTTGCCAGCTGTAACCGTTTATTATTAGGCAAGAAATTCATTAAAATTATGAAGTTATGTTCGATTTGCTTCAAACTTGTTTTCAAAGCTGTACATAAGAACTTAGCGAATACGTGGGGAAATCCACCCGCAACAGTGGGAAATTGGCGAAAAACGGCTGTATGAAAGTTTTCTGTTTACCTTTCGATCCTTCCGTGTCACGGCAAGGCCTGGAAATATATGTATATACATACATATTTGTATATACACACATTAATACATACATACATACACACATACAAACACATACATGCATGCTATACATCCCATGCATGCGTACATACTATACATGCATACATACATACATAAATACATGCATACATACAAACATACGCCTCCTGCTCCGCCCCCTTGGTGCTTCTCCTCCTGGTCCTCCGCCATGCTCCTCCGGCTCGCCAGCTCACAGCGTTGAAGCCGCCTGCGCCTAATTCATAGGTGACGCCTGCAGGCCTTACTTACATTTTTGAGAATCGAGGAGGAGGGCAGCTCCAATAAATACGTTTTCTTTTTTAAATTTGCCGCGCAACAAGACAAATTGGTCTGCATTGGTATAGAAGACAATTTACATGCATACATACAAACATATATATGCACATACATGCATACACACGCACATACATACATAATTACATGCACGCACACACATACACATGCATAATTACATACATACATTTGAATTTAATCAATTTCTACAGCTGGCAACATTAATTAAATATATTTTGAACAGTTGTAATGATAGTTAAATTTTGAACTTCTTTTAAAACAGATTGTAAATACATTAAAACAATATATTAAATTTTATTGATTTTGAAAAATTTTATTTAACATTATTAAGTTAACCAATAACTTAGCAATCTAGAAAGTTAGCTGCCATTAAAAGTTCTAAGGCAATCTCTGGTGCAATCGGAAATTCTGGTATTTCAGTCGAACTGTTGGTATATCGAACTTTGTATGTGAAGTACATGCAAACCTTTTGTAAAACGTGCGATCTGAAAAGAGAATATGAAAATATATAAAATAGATTATGTCCATATAAATATATATAATAGTAATGTCTCGCCTTAAGGTTTACCTAATTTGTATACCCTTGCAGAGGGTATTATAATTGTGTCTCGAAATGTGTAAAGCATAGAGGAAGACATCTCCGACCCCATAAAGTATATATATTCCTGATCAGTCCATATAGTCATGTCCGTCTGTCTGTTTCTAGGCGAAAAAGTCTCTCAACTATCGTCATGAAACTTTACACACGTCCTTTTTTCTGTTGTACGCAATACATACATCGCAATCGGCTGGATCAGATCACTATATCATATAGCTGCCATAGGAACAATCGGTCGAATGGTAGGCTCTTGCATGGAAAACTTTTTTGTTTATCCAGATATCTTATGATCTTATGATCCTCAGATATATGCAAATTCTTATCAACATGAGGCAACTATATAATATAGCCGACATGGGAAAGATCGGTCGAAAAGTAGCTTCTTATATGACAAAATATTCTATTTTTCAAGATATTTTCATGAAACTTAGCATTAACAAGCCTTACTGTTCTCACATATCTGCAAAAGGAAAATGTCTACTAGCGTATTTACTCGTCGGCGTACCGAAGATATCCTTACTTCAACGCTTCTAAGTCAAAAATATCATGGTTTTGAATGTTCGCGGTCTTGAATATCGGGTTTCCTTCTTACTTTGAATACAACTTATTATACTAAATTTATTAGTAAACAATATTTATCAGTTTACTGGGCTGCGGGTATAATCCACGAATGAAAATATACTTGATTTGACTTAGTATATAGAATATATAATACATATAGAATTATTCGACATAACTTGGCTCTTAATATGCGTAGAAATGCACAAGGAATTTTTTAAAAGACATCTTAATTACGTTTTTAAAATTAAGAAACTAAGTTTATGAGAGCATAACTTTTTTAAATTTTAGAAATACTTTTGAAGCGTTTTGAAAATACTAATAATAAATATTTATTTAGCAACTGTACATATGTATATGTATGTGTGTTTGCTCGATGGGGTCGTATGCATGTATGTATGTACATATATGAATGCTATATTAAAACATATGACTATTAATTTTATACAAATTTATGTTTTTAAAACTATATTTAGTCGGTAAAGTTGTAAATCAATAAATGACTGACTAACTATTTATGTACATACATGTTTTTATGCAATTAAGCACGCATGTGTGCATATGTATGTCAGATGGACGTACACATGTATATGCATGTACACATGTACATACATACATACATATATCACAGATTATTTGCACTCCCTTGACCGGTCAAGGGGCCACTCTTGATTTGAAAAAAAGTACTGTGCGTAATTAGCGAGGATCACAGGTATAACTTACGGTATCTCACGAAAGTGCACTTCATTAGCCTCGTTTTCAGCGAATTGTCCTGGGCCAGATAACATTGCCTTAATTGTGCCAGAGGTGAGAGCATGTTCGCGTTTTACAATAAATTCGTGTCCGTCTGATGAAATCAGTTTGACGTACATGGCGTCTGGCCCCTCACACCCGCCATAGATCTTATCGCTGCGCTGCTCGTCCATTGCTATCATCTGAAAAATTTACTTACTAAATGTATATATACTTTTTGCATTATAACCATTTTTATTTTTTGTCTTACTTGCCAAAAGTCAGTCTGTGACAACACTCAAAATCGTATATATGAAATGCAGTGTTGGGTAATGTATTAAATGCGTCAACCAATTGTCTTCATGCCATCATGCAAATCGAGAGGTAAACAAACGTAAGAAATGGAAAACATTAAAATTCATATTAATTGTCACATTTATGTACATACATTTTATTTTATTAATTTTATATACTATAGCAGAGACTAACGTAAAATATTTTACGGTCCTGTATACACTAATGTTGCATTAATATTTAATTTAATTGCGATTAGGAAAATGAAATTTGGCCAAAGCAACTGCATGTAAAAATATATTATCGATAATCCATAGAGTTTTTTCAGTTCTCAATAACAACATATTAGTGGAATTCCTGAAATAGATTCTGATTTCGTCGGTCAGCTGTTCACGGCCGCTCCGTACAAAATGTGCAGTGTGACCAGAAAAAGGTTGAAAATTAGGGTCACATTTTAACGAAATCAGCTCTGAAACTTGGATTTGACTGTGTGTGTGACCGTTCTCTTGAATTACGGAGTCCCACTTGCTTACATTATTCTGATTTAATATGGAGAACGCTATACATATATTTTTTGCATGTTAAATCCAAGTGATTGAATATTTATTTACTTAATGCACGATAAAAAGTTAATGCAGATGAAGTTAAGAAAGGAGCTTAAAGTGTTAAAATTGCGGCCATAACATTATAAATAGTAAAAATACATATTCTGCAAGCGAACAATTATTGTTGCGAGGCTTATTTGAAAACTTTTTAACACATTTTTGAGAAATTTATGTTTTTGCACCTTTATTTACTTTTCTGCCAATTGTCAATCAGCTGTGCGGGCAGGCTGGTAACTGTTGTCACGGGTTGTCATGAAATGTGTAACACATAAATGGAAACATTCCAACGCAATATAGTATTTTTTTCTATCTATTTAGTATTTATTCTCTGCGAACTAGTATTTTTGTTTTAAAGGAGCGCCTTGCATAAACTGTCCGAGTTGGACTGCTATATCGTATATGTCCTATGAACGATCAGTTGGAAATTAAGTTCTTGCCTCAAAAAACTTTTGTTTAGCAATATATTTACCAAAGTTGGCATTTATATGTCTCACTATGCTTACATATATTCAAATCCAATCAGCAACAGACAACTATAACATATACCTACCATAGAAACAATTGATCGAAATTTAAGCTCTTGTTTTAATACATTTTGTTTTTTAAAGAGATATCTTGACTAAGCCGGCATTTATTAGTTAAACTATGCTGCAAATCCGAAAATAACCAGTTAGAACTAGTAAAAGGCAATCAATTTTTATAAGAAATCGTTTCGACTTTATTGGTTACGTTAAAAGAACAATCGTTGAAAACTTAATTGTTGTTCTCATTTTATTTGACGCAACTTTAGAGAATTTAGTTCTCATCCACCTCAGCCTCTTGCTCCTCCTCGAACTCGGCGTCTTCGTCGGCAGTTGCCTCCTGGTACTGCTGGTATTCAGAGACCAAGTCATTCATGTTGCTTTCTGCTTCGGTGAACTCCATTTCATCCATGCCCTCACCAGTGTACCAATGCAAGAAAGCCTTGCGGCGGAACATAGCGGTAAATTGTTCAGAGATGCGCTTAAACAGTTCCTGAATGGCAGTCGAGTTTCCAATGAATGTAGCAGACATTTTCAGACCACGGGGCGGGATGTCACACACTGCCGTTTTCACGTTGTTGGGGATCCATTCAACAAAGTATGAGCTGTTCTTGTTCTGGATGTTCAGCATCTGTTCGTCAACCTCCTTCATGGACATGCGTCCACGGAAGATGGCAGCAACGGTCAGATAACGGCCATGACGAGGATCGCAGGCAGCCATCATGTTCTTGGCATCGAACATCTGTTGGGTAAGCTCGGGCACTGTAAGCGCTCTATACTGCTGGGAGCCTCGGGAGGTAAGGGGCGCAAAACCGGGCATGAAGAAATGGAGACGTGGGAATGGAACCATATTAACTGCCAGTTTGCGGAGATCAGCATTCAATTGGCCAGGGAAGCGAAGGCAAGTTGTGACGCCAGACATTGTCAGGGAGACGAGATGGTTCAAGTCGCCGTATGTTGGGGTAGTCAGCTTAAGGGTACGGAAGCAGATGTCGTAGAGAGCCTCATTATCGATGCAATAGGTCTCATCTGTGTTTTCGACCAACTGGTGCACCGACAGGGTAGCGTTATAGGGCTCAACAACGGTGTCTGATACCTTCGGCGAGGGCACAACCGAGTATGTGTTCATGATTCTATCGGGGTATTCCTCTCGGATCTTAGAGATAAGCAAGGTACCCATGCCAGAGCCGGTGCCGCCTCCAAGTGAGTGTGTAAGCTGGAAGCCTTGCAGGCAATCGCACGATTCAGCCTCTTTACGAACAACATCAAGCACTGAATCAACGAGCTCAGCGCCCTCTGTGTAGTGACCCTTAGCCCAGTTGTTACCGGCGCCAGATTGACCGAACACAAAGTTGTCGGGTCTGAAAATCTGACCGAAGGGACCCGATCGCACCGAGTCCATGGTGCCAGGCTCCAAATCAACAAGGACAGCTCGGGGCACATATTTGCCACCAGACGCCTCGTTGTAGTAGACATTGATACGCTCTAATTGCAGGTCGCTGTCGCCATGGTAGGCGCCGGTCGCATCAATGCCATGCTCATCGGATATGATTTCCCAGAACTGCAATTAAAGTAAACGATAGTTCAGTTAATTTAAGAGCTGCTCAATTAATAGCTGCTAAGCTTAGCAAATATAAGTTGAAAATATGTACATGTATTTGCATAAGTCTGAACATATGTTCAATGAACTGTTCAGCCCGTAAACGGGTAACCATAAAAGAAAGTATTATATAGAGGCAAAGTCAATAAATAACTATTTAAGGTCTGTCTCTTGATTTTTGGTAGACTTAATGTGACACAGCGGAAACTTCGTCATCATAGCTACAACACTTGCGTGGGTCGATCATAACGCCAGCTGTCCACCCTAAATGTCGCGGCTCTCCGAATATATGTAGGCTTTAAGTCTCTGTACTCCCCACGCACGCACAAAGCAATTGTCATAATCAGTAGGCACCACCTACCTTACGTTTTTCAGCCACACACACACACACATATATATGCTCGCAAGCTTACATCATCAACAGCAATATCAAGCAACCCACACACAAGAGAAAAAAGTGGCTGGCGTAAGCCGAGGCCAAGCTGTAGTGCATCAACTCAATTTGTCTGTTAACCATATGGCGTTTGACATGTACTTTTGGAACGTATTACGTCATTGTAGAGCTAAGTATTTAGATTGTTTATTTCGAGTAAACAAACAAATCTATATAACTAAAAAAAGAAAAGCTTAATAGGTACTACAACATAAGGATACGTTCTAGAAAGTCACAGAAATTACCCTGAAAAATGTCATAGCAACTTAAATGTGCCTATACCAACACCAATACATAATAGTCACACACATACATATATATATATATATACATGCTAAATACCGAAGGAAAAAACTCAAAGCAGCTGCTATATATACGGGGGTAGTTTTGTGTATATACATATTTTTACGAGGACTAGAATGGCTCTATTGATTTGCCGAAAGGATGACGATGACGCAGTCAGTTTGCAATGAAATTGCCGGCAAGCCATTGTACGCATGTGCATGAAAAGTGGCAACACAGCCTTTGGGTGTGTCATATGTATATGAATGCATATACACATACATACATATACATACATTACCGTACGAATACAGGCGTGCGGAATGCACATAAATAACTATTTGTATGTTTTAAGTTTTTAATAAATATATACACATACAAATGTGTTCGATCTCTGAAGAATATTTCTTTAAAATTCAGTAATACATACATATGTACGAGTATATGTTCCCCAATAAAATACTGAATACAGAACTCCACTTATACAGCCGCAAATACAGAAATACATACAAACGATGCCTCTGCAGATGTGAACGTACGTACATTTATACGTATGAGCATACAGATTGGTATACGTATATATGTATATATTTTATGTCATTGCGAACCGGTCGACAACCGGTTCAGCCATTTTAGGTAAAATGACGTCATGTTTTCCCTTTACCAAACTTCGGAAAACCAAACCTTAACAAAGTAAACGGGAACATATGTATAATTTATATGCTTCTAACGTCTAATTGATCGACTAAAAATATATGCACCTTTCACCAATTACAAACATACATACAAGTACATTTCTCCTACATGCATATGCATGTATGTATTAGGCGAAGCAACTTTCTCATTAAAATAAACTAGAGCTTTAAAGCAATTATGACTCATCAGTATGTAAATATATGTAGGAGAACGAAAAATACGTTCGAAGTTACCATACTCAATATATATACAATATTTAGACACACCCTAAATTTATAAAGATCTAAATCTATATTCTGCATATGCATGTGTATTATGTACACACAAACAGAGAAAACTGCATGAGCCGGTAAGTATACATATGCATACATGTATATATTTATGCATACATACAAGCGTAAATAAATATGTACTATACAAACTTATGCGCTGATGCCGGTGGCCTCAATAAATTTGCCACATGGCAGCGCAAAAATGACGCCATGTTGACTAGTAACTGTACTTCATTCTTATTTTTAACTCAATTAAGGCAACATTAAAGAATTCAATACATACCTTGGCTCCAATTTGGTTACCGCACTGACCAGCTTGAATGTGTACAATTTCCCTCATATTTATGTATATATAAACTTGTAGACTTTTAGCTTAAATTTATTTGCTGCTTGTATTCACAAACACACTTCTGCCCGCTTCACTTGACGAATACTGTCTGAGCTCATCTGGGTAATCGCTGGTATAATATAACATAGAAATGCAGTGTGACCAGACGGTGTAATCGAAAAAATACCATTCGAAAATATTTAACAATGCAAAGGTTACGCTATGCATGACGCTTTACGTCATTCATAGTTAATTTTTTTCAAACAATATATTATATTTAAATATATACATTAATATTAAATGGCTTACATTAAACTAGAAATACACATAAAAAGTTGTATGGTCTTTGTCGTAAACTTACAGTTAAAACTTTAAATAAATAAAAACGATAAGGACGGACTATCTTATGCACACCGAAGATTGAATACCCTTCTAGACCGAACCTTTTCATAATGATTATTTTCGACCGATCGTTCCTATAACAGCTATATGATTTTGTGATCCCATTTATTAACCCGTCGATCTCAGAACCTATAAGAGCTGGAAACGTTGGTAGGACCTCCTTGTTTCCGCATTGGTTTCAAATCATCGATAGCGTGTCTCGCAATCGATAAAAACGTATAAGAATCCGTTTTTGAGCACGTCTCTTTAAAGCGTTAAAGCGGTGTTGGAAAATCAATATATATGATTATCGCCTGCGTTTGGCCATAAGTGTTTGAAAATATAACCAAACATTTTTGTTTGTTTTGGTTACAAAAGCACCCCTATTTCAATGGATTCAGGGATAAAAATTGATCTTAATCTCCCAAAATAATATAATTTCCCATACGAAAATATTATTTTATTTGACATGGACTTTCTTTAGGAATATGTGAAGCACAAGTTAACGTTTGGGGATCAATTTAAGAACTTATTGAAATCATTTTGAAAACATTTCTTCTTAAAAAATATTTTGGGGATGCATGAAAAACATTTTCTCAAATTTCAAATTCGAAACCCGTATTGATTAAGTACTTAAGTACTTCGCTCAGCGCTCAAGCTTGTGTGGTTTGGACGGTCTTAAATGAAGGGAGGGATGGGTTTTCCAAAATTAATTTGAGCAAAGAGCCAGTCTTACAAAGTGCAAAAACTATCCCCATATTTGTACAAAATGTTCACAGTAAGATAAAGGTTATGTTCTCGACTTGCCGAAGACGAAATATCCTTTCCGCCGATTGTTCGATTATAATAAGGTATGTAAGGTATCGTTATTTTTAAGAGATTGGCATTTGAATTATTTTATTATATATCTTTTGAGACATTATACAAAAGAACGTGGCTGCCTTTTTTCGCAAGACAATATGGGTTCATGCAATCTAATCAATGGACTTCATCTTACATAAATGATTTACAGGTATCATTTTTACTTCGTCATTTATCTTACAAACGAGAACATCACCCTCCTGTTTGGACAAAACTTTGCCAACAGACTCTCTTTCTTCTCCATATATAACTTTGAATTCATCTCCACTATTGGGTGGAACAGGAGCCAGGTGCTCACTAACAATGGACACGCTACGATCTTCCTGACGCAGAAATACAGAACAGACACCATTTGAGACTGTACGAATAATACCAGTCTGGCCAACGAGATCAGTATCGTCATGCGTATGAATCCGAACTTCAATGTCAGTAGTACACCAATCGCCCATTGAAGAGTCGAGGCTAGCTCCAGGCGTTTGCGGATTGTATGGTGATTGTGGTACACCACCGGGAGTGTTCGGTGAATAAGTTGATGGCGATGGTGTATTCATATAACCAACTGGATATGGCGAAGGTGCAGGGCTAGGACTCGGATTAAATGGACTGTAGCTTCTATCGGAGCCATAAAGAGTACCCGGAGTTTGTGGAGCAAATTGTGACGACATTTGGTACCCAGGAGTGCCTAAGATTCAGATAAATTAAATTGAATACACAATAAATAAGGAAAGGTACATTACTTGGATTATATCCTGGGCTGGGGCTTGGTTCCTCAAGCGAATAATCAAAATCTGTATTACGAGCCGGGGTCGTATTTGCAGTAGGATCCCATGCGCCATGACGTGGCGTCATACTGCCATCGTGAGACGGCGTCATTGTACCATAAGGTGTCCTAGTATCGGTGTCCCAATTTGGTGTCTGACTACCAACCAATGGGGTTTTGGATCCCGCAGCGGTGTAGCTGGGAGTCTGCGCTCCGTAACCAGGTGTACGTGCTGGTGTGCGACCATAAGTGGAAACACTGCCTTCTTTACCAGGCTCGCCGACAATAACAATATGGTTACGATCCACGGAAATCGTTTGGCATGATGTATGCAATTCCACACGAGCTGTGCTCTCAGTTGCATCTTTTACGATGCCAACGGCACCTACATTTAAAACGATCACATATAAAATATCGAAGAATACCGAATAATGATTTTAAATGATAATACCTTTGTAGGGTCCACCACAAATTTTGATAGTTTTTCCTAAAAGTTCACGGTCACGCGTCACACGGAAGCCTCCGCGACCACCGCGCGATCCTCCACGCGCACCACGACCACCAGACGGATGCATTGGCGATTGGATTCGAGGTGACATAAATCCCAATCCTCCAAGCGTATTGGCATTGCTTACATTCGTTTTACTTCCACCAGCGAGTTGTAAGTGACGCGTCTTGCATACGAAAATACCGCCATTCTCCGTGTACATACGACAGTGGAGAAATGCTAAGCTACGATACAAGTGCTTTATTTCTCCAGAGCGTCCCTATTATATTAGAATAGCGAAAACATGTACAAATGTATTGATAAATGTAGGTAATTTTTTCTTACGGCATGTGGACCCTCCATAACTTTCACTATGTCGCGGCGGCGAATCTGATTTTGATCTGCATCCAGAGCAACAGTATTTTGATTTTCACGCCGTTTATGCAAGGCTGTTGGCTTGCACTCAATACATTTTCCATTCATGCCCAGGACGTGGAAGTTCTCACGTTCCAAGCGCACAATTACACCAACATTTTGTGAACTGCAAAGCAAGACACATTTAGTTGAATAAATTAAAATATTTGAATGGAACCTTAAAAGTACTTACTCAAGCTGGACCAGATCTCCCCATTGGAATTGACCAAGACAGTCAACACCGGTAGCTACATCAGAGCACAGTTGCAAGTCTCGGGGCAAAACCTCAAGTTCATGATTGGTCAAATCTGAGACAAGCACAACCCGCGATGGCTCTACGCGAATTATTAGACCTGTTTCACCTTCGTAGCGGCCCGCCAACACTCGCGCATGATCACCCGTCTTAAAGTATTTGCGTAACTCGCTTGCTTTGAATATAAGAGGATCCTAAATGTAAAACACATAATTAATAAACTTTCAATAATTAGATTCAAATTTTCGCGGACACTACCTTTAAGTCCTGATGTTTGGGCATAACCGTAATCATTGTGCCATCAATAGCAACAATCTTTGCTTGCAAGTTTTCCAGATCACCGACACAAACTTCGACATTATCGCCCATTGAAAATGAATGAGCAGCCGTGGGATCATCTTTAACGCTAGCCATAATTTCCAGGTTAACTTCTGTAAGAGTGAATGCCACTTTTAGTTGAAACTGATTCTTAAAGGTTGGCTAACTTACCCTCCGGTGCTTCTTCAAATCGCTCAAGTTCGGCCAGAGTGGGCTTTACGCCCTCGGACAAAATTGCTGACATGGTAAAATTTTTATAAAGAAATCCCTTTCGCGAATAGCGATTTCCTTCGAAGAGCAAAAAATCTCCATCTGAGTGAACTTCCCCTCCAATGGCCCTGAAAAAAAGTTGGGATTAAGATATTATATTATTGTTATTGTAGGAAGTTATAAATGGGTTGTAAATATGTCACTCACCTAACAGCTTCTGGATCAAATGGTTTTGCCGGGGGCCTGCGTTTCTTTTTACGCTTCCCATCATCACTTTCCTGAAATCAATATTGTTAATACACCTATATAAATTCAGTGTTATGCTTGTCTTACCGTCGCCGTGGTACGTAATGCACCGCGCATGCGAGTGTAATCGATACGAGGAAGAAGCTTAAGATGCACCTGGTTCTGTGCCAGATCTACATAATCTACTTGCGCAATGTCATCCTTGTACAAGCCACGCTTTAAGCGCACCCACTGTTTTACCTTAAGGCCGACTTGCTCTTTAACTACTTTAAGCACATCAGTCATTTCCTTAATAGGAACCATTTCTTGTTTCCATTTGCCCATTCGAAGATTTCCCACATTGTCGATAGCTGTCTTCACATGAGTTTGTTTGTAAGCTTCCAAATAAATATATCCCTTCACACCTTCTGGTGCGATAATAGATTTAATTTGTAATGGATCATCTGTATTGAGATAAGTTAGGAACTTCCTCATCAAGAGCAATGCTGTCGCCTTCTCTTCTCCTATGCGACATTTCACCATCCACAAATTGGGATCTCTAGTTGAATAATTTGTTGAAATACATTAATGAGTATACGAATAATAGTAGGTAGTATAACATTGACTTACTTAATCCCCGGCAAAAGAGTTTGTTGTGTGATTTCATCGGACATTTCCTCGCCGCCGTCGCCAAAGTGTCGTCTTACCATCGATTCGTCAGCATATTTCTTTCTTAGATACTCCTCAATTTCGTCTTCTTTTTGAGTGCTATACCAATTAATTATTCAATTTAATATTTGAAAACTGAATGCAATTTAAAGTAGGCAACTTACTCCCATAAATTGGTTCCTCTGCGTCGTATTTCAATATCTCTGGCGGTGGGGCCCAGCTCATCTATTTCATTGCCAACGATACCAATTTCGTTGGCACCCTCCTCCCACTCGTCGTCTTCATCAACCTTTATATGCAAACAATTTGGTATGTAAGCTATTAAACAATTTAACGAGTGCTTATATTATATATTTCACCTCGTCATCCACTTCAGCTTCGTCAATGATGAAGCCACCAAAGCGCTCCTTTTTCTTTTTTTTCCGTGGATGGTCTTCGTTTTCTTCCTCTTCGTACTCTTCGGAATCTATATCCTCTCCTTGTGCGTCTTCATCTTCAGAATCTTCGGTTTTGCGACGGTGTCCACGTCCTCCTTGAGGTTGCGGAGAATCGGATCCTGAGCCAGAATGGGCTGATTGAGATCGGGAGCGAGAAGATCTCGACCTGGACCTGGACCTCGATCTGGACATCGACCTTGACCTTGAGCGAAAGCCAGATTTGGATCTAACACTTTGTTGCGACTTGTTCGATATTGATCCATCGTCGGAGCCACTATCCGACATATTGCTAACTTCCGAGTCCGACATTTTGTGTACTGCGGACGTGTAAAAAACCACACGTTTTTTATTTGTACAGTTGCAAAATATATTTAAAGGTTTGCTGTTAACTATACTCACATATAATTATTCAAGCAAATAGCTCATAAATATAAGCCATACATTTGCACATACAAAATGTATGCAATTGTTTTAGGCAAATTCAGTGGGTTTGCTCTTTAATTGACGCTTAGTTATGGACACAGTAAATTATGATACTGAAAACGTTGTCATCATACAGAGTTATCGATTACTGAACATCAGTCTGAAAAAAATCATCGATATGTTTTTTTCTTAATACTATGTGACTTTACCGCCAATATACATTAAAAAGTAACTCAGGCATAACAAGAAACATATAAATTTTAGGTGTAGAAGACTTACACAAATATCATATTATTATCATCTTTTTTAGGGCATTTAGCTTGCAAAAACTCGAACCAACATCTTGCCCCAAACAATTTCTCTTCGACTATGAAGGCTGCAAAGCTGCTACACTAGATATGCAATAAGACACGATAGGTATTCGATTATTCAATCGAAATATGGTATATATCGGTATATTTTGGTTTTAAAGATTTGGCAACAGTTGTTACAGAATGATTAGTTTTTGTGGTCCAAAGAAGCGGAGAATAACGAGATGCGCTGGAGAAACTGAGTTCAATTGAATTCATTAAATTATATTATGCACCAATTTGAATGGGCGTTTTTTACACAAATGCAAATTCGAATACCTTACCTAACAGTAGTACGTTGATTTTTGACGCCACTGTTGTCTTCATGTTAACATTTTGTGTGAGTGGCATGCCAGTACCATGTAAAACAGATTGACACTCCTATGAATAGAAACATTAAAGAAAGAAGAAGAACGTGTGAGGGGAAGTAATTACTGTTTTCAAATTTTACAATTATTAAATAACTAAATAATTCTGGTCAAAGAGTTTATAAGAAATTGTTATTTTGAGTTGGCAATTATCTGATGAACACAAAAGATTCATTTAACATTTGAGGCGAAAGCATTTATAAGCGATTGTATGTGCATATTAGAGTTTTATATATGTGTATGTGTGCTCATAGAAATATACGTACATACGCACATATTTTCCATAGATCCGACTTTCGCATCAATTAATCAGAGTGTTAAGACAGACTGAAGTTCTAGCTTAAGATATGACTGGGGCTTAATTCATGATGAAATAAAACCAACCATATTATTGCTGTACAAGAACATTAGCTTTAGACAATATCTGTATGTTTGTTGCAAATGATTATATGTAAATAAACTGGGTTGCATACTTTAATAGGTGGTGAATTTGAATAAAAATCGCCAACAGAGCGGTATATTTGGAACATGAACACCGCAGAAGTCAACCAAAGCGATCAGCCGCATAGGAACAATGGATGTAAGTACATATGTACGTGCAAACCAAATTGGATAATTAATGAATTTTCGTTTTATTAGCCCAATATGAAGATTATGTTCTTCATGTACACATGCCAAACAAGAGTTTTAAATCCATAGCCTTTCATAAAACCGAAACGGTATTCCACATCATCCGGAAAACAGTTGAAGAGTTTGGCAAGGACGGACAACCGCCGCCGAGCATTCAGCGTTACGCATGTCGAATGTTGAATGTCATAACCAAAGAAGTATGTCTTCCAAATAATGCACTATTACTACTTGAATAACCCAAATAATATTTAACAGGTACTATGGTTAGCTAGGACGACGTCAATGGAAAAGGTTTTGTCTCACATACTATCACCCGGGTGCTCGAATGTAGATTGTCCAAACAACGACCCTATAAAAGCAGATCAAGCTGAAGGCAAAGACCCGCATCATGGGCGGCGATCCGTTGTCACAGGTGTCTGGCGTGTGGAGTTGCGCGTGCGATATGTGCCCCACAAGATTCAAGACTTATTCGACGAAGACAAAACTACTTGCTTTTATTATTTTGATCAGGTAATACTGCTGTTAAATATATTTCGATAACATTTAACCCCGAATGTGTACGGTTGCAGGTAAAGGACGATTATATCCAATCAAATATATCGTCCGTGGATGCTGATATAGCAGTTCAACTATGCTGTTTGGGTATACGGCATTACTTCAAAAACATAACGTTGAAAGCTCCAGATAAGAAGCAACACATCGATTACATTGAAAAGGAAATTGGGTTTAAATGTTTTATTCCTCAATCTGTGATAAGCACAACAAAGCCAAAGAATCTGAAGAAAATGATACAGGTCGGATACAAAAAGGTCTACAATTACAATGACATCGAGTACTTGACAAAGTATGTATTCTTGTGCTAAACTTTAGTAGAAAGGTGCTTAACTCAAAAATATTTTATACAGGTTTTTTGATCTTCTCAAAAGCTTTTATTTAACCGATTTCGAACAATTTTCTGTAACCTTAAGCTCGGCTTGGAATATATCCGGAATCCTGCATGTTGGTCCGCACATTGGTAAGAATTTTGAATACCCCCCTTTTTTTTGTAAATCCTATTTGTATTTTATTTATTTATTTTAGGAATCTCTTACCAGACACATCCGCAAGCAAGTTTAAGGAATGTAGCACAGTTTAAAGATGTCGTTTCCATTAAAACCTGCGCTCTTCCAAAAGAAAAAGCATCCAATGAACTTGAGTTACAGAATTTAAAATGCAATTGCCGAAAAATTAAAACTCAAATCAAAATTTCTGCATCTAATATAACGGAAGATTTGATTATAACATGCAATGGAGTAAATGTAAGCTTTACAATTCGCAGGTTTTCAATTCATATGATAATTGTCTATTATTTTCAGACCGCTGAAAGTATTGCCGATCTTATTGATGGTTATTGCAGGCTTCTAACGAAAGATCTAGGATTTACAGTTTGGGAACGAGAAACGGACATGGGAGGAAATGTAAAAAACTCACCAAATGCACCTAACGCTTCGCAAGACGATCGAACTTCGTCGTCTCCGAATAAAAGTAAACCTATGCTCACGGATGATTATGCTGAAATCGGGTTATTAGAAGGGGAGGGTGATTACTCCACACCCACAGGTAAGCTATAGTTTAATATGTTTCTTTTTAACGTTTTAAAGCCCTTATTTTTATTTAGTGCGCAATTACGAGCTTGATCGATCTCAAATAGTTCTTAGTGCAAAAATTGGGGTCGGTCAATTTGGAGATGTTTATGTTGGAACATATACGGTTCCAATATCAGCTAAACCGAAAAGCAAAAGGAACGAGAGTTCTTCAAATAATATCGATGCCAAATATGATGTAATGCAAGTAGCCGTTAAGACATGTAAAGCAAACGAGAATCCAGAAAAGACAGAAAATTTTCTTGCCGAAGCATGTAAGTTAAACTAATACTCAATTTTTTACAGTCCGAATTCGTTTGCTTAATGAGTATAATTCATTGTGAAAAGGGTTTACAAATATGGTTTTATGTATAGCACGATCCAAATCTTAAGCTGAATTCCTGGCAATGTTATTGATCTTTGTTAATTTGGCTGGTTTCTCATTGCAGATATAATGCAGAAGTTCGATCATCCACATATTATTCGATTGATTGGTATTTGCAGTATAACGCCCATTTGGATAGTAATGGAATTAGCTAAGCTCGGTGAATTGCGTGCGTACTTAAAAGCCAACAGTGAGAGGTATGCTTCTGATTATTTACGCCACGTATCGACTTTTTTATGAATCGTTTTATTTCAAGATTAAGTCACGGAACTTTGCTTAAATATTGCTACCAACTGTCAACAGCGCTCAGCTATTTGGAATCTAAGAAATTCGTTCACAGAGATATTGCGGCGCGAAACGTTCTTGTGAGCACACCTACTTGTGTGAAGGTGCGAACCAATTATTGATGGAGTAGAGAATTTGCGCTTATATCTTTACCAATTTCAGCTGGCTGATTTTGGATTGTCGCGCTGGGTTTCTGACCAGTCCTATTATCACTCAACTCCCACAGGTTAGAAAAATATATCTAATCAACTGTTGAATATATTTTTAAAAAAATGAGATTTCAGTTGCACTACCCATTAAATGGATGTCCCCCGAGTCAATCAATTTTCGAAGATTCACTACAGCTAGTGATGTGTGGATGTTCGGTTGGTGAAAGAGAAAACAAAAAAAAAAAGTTTTCATTTACATTTATATGATCTCTGCGGATAGGTGTGTGCATCTGGGAGATACTTATGCTAGGTGTTAAACCATTTCAAGGCGTGAAAAACAGCGACGTCATCACAAAGCTGGAAAATGGGGAGAGATTGCCATTGCCACCAAACTGTCCGCCCAGACTATACTCACTAATGTCTCAGTGTTGGGCTTACGAACCGCTTAAAAGACCGAACTTTAAACGGATAAAGGAAACCCTTTAGTAAGTTTGTAGATTTATTATTGTTATATTATTATTATTGTTTGTTGGGATAATGTCTTCTAAAATATATATTTTTAGTGAAATTTTATTGGAAGACAGTATAAACTCATCTGAGACAATGAGAAGGGAGCACCGTCGACTTGCAGGTGTATCTTGGATTGGCACTGAAGACAGCGACATTCCTCCATTAAAGCCATCCCGAACAGTAAATGAAACTGGTAATATTCATAGACAGATCTTGGTATTGGATTATATGCTTATATTTATACTTGATTTTAGATATTCCAAGCATACTGAATACGCCAGAGGAAAACAGGACTGTACCCCAGACCTATATTATTGCCCAAAATCCGGCTGTGCTCGCCAGATTAATGATGGAGAATCAAAAGCGAGGCATAAATCCTGCAGCCTACACCACACCCGCTTCGGTATTTAATACTTTAGCCGTAGGAATAGATTCCAGTAAATCGAATCATTCGCTTAAAACTACTAAGCTTCCCGCAGCGGAGCTCCTAAAACTCGATCCTGTCGCTGATTCAGATAAACCTCAAATTCAATTTCCAATAACCAGCACCTCTTCTCAAAATCTTTATCCATCTTCATCACCTGTAATTAGTTCTTTCGACTCGACCTTTATGCCAGCATATTTACACCCTATGAATATTAGGCCTCAGCCGGTATCAGGATATGTGTCAGAGAACTTGCCACTGAAAAATAACTTTATAATAAGTGCACCAAACGCGGATGATTTCCACATGAATCAAGTGCAGATGGACAGCAAATCTGCCAACCCAACGGCAAGGGCCGCAGGTTATAGTTTGTATGGCAGTCTCGAAAGGCATCAACCACAAAT